ACACTGGGTGGGCACACATGCGCCCGCCCCACACATTCCGGCAAACCCCTCACACGTTTGGTGTCTGCAAAGAGAACTCCACCTCAGACCACACTGGGCGTGTCTACATGCGTCCGCCCCGCTCATCTCGGCACACCCCTCACCCGCTTCGTGCCCCAAGAAGGAGCTAAGGCCACACTGGGTGCGTCCACATGCCTCCGCCCCACATCACACGTCTCGTGTCCCTATAGGGAGCTTCACCTCAGGCCACACCAGGTGCGTCCACATGCCTCGATCCCATAAATTTCGGCACACTCCTCACACGTTTCGTGCCCCAATGAGGAGCTCCACCTCAGGCCACACTGGGTGCGTCCACAATCATCGACCTCATCAATTTCGGCACACCACTCAAATGCTTCGTGCCTCAATGAGGAGCTCCACCTCAGGCCACACTGGGTGCGTCCAAATGCCTCGACACCATAAATTTCGGCACACCCTTCACAGGTGTCGTGCCCCAAAAAGGAGCTCCACCTCAGGCCACACTAGGTGCGTCCACATTCATCGACCCCACCAATTTCAGCACACCGCTCACACTCTTCGTGCCGCCATAGGGAGCTCCACCTGAGGCCACACTGGGCGTGCCCACATGCGCACGCCCCACCCAATTCTGGCACGCCCATCACACGTTTCGTGGCCTCATTGGAAGCTCCACCCAAGGCCACACTGGGTGGGTCCACGGGTCCACATGCGTCCGCCGCACCCAGTTCGGCACACCCACCTTACATTTCGAGCCCCCTTAAAAAGCTCCACCTCAGGCCACACTGAGTGTGTCCACATGCATCCGCCACACCCATGTCGGCATACCCCTAACATACCCCTAACACGATTCATTACCGCCTAGGGAGCTTTACCGACGGTCCCACTGGCGCAATCCGCTCGCGATCACCCCCGCCCGTGTTGGTGCACCCCTCACACGTTCGGTGGCCTTATATGGAGCTCAATATAAGGCCACACTGGGCGTGTCCACATGTACCCGCCCCACACTCACGCGTTTCACGCCCTCATAGGGAGCTTCACCTAAGGCCACACTCGGTGAGTCCACATGCCTCCCCCCACCAACTTGGGCACACCCATCACAAGTGTCGCGGCCCCATAGGGAGCCCCACCTCAGGCCACACTGGGTGTATCCACATGCGTTCGCCCCACCCAGTTCGGCACACCCCTCACACGTTTTCGTGGCCTATTAAGGAGTTCCACCTCAGGCAACACTGGGTGCGTCCACATTCGTCCGCCACACCCATTGCGGCACAGCTATCACACGCTTCGCGGCCCCCTCAGAGAGCTCCACCTCAGGCCGCACAGGGCGCGTCCACATGCGTCCGCCCCCTCCTCTTTCGGTAGGATCCTCGCATGGTTCGCCGCCCCAAAAGGAGCTCCACCTAAGCCCACGCCGGGTGTGTCCACAGGCGTCCGCCCCACCCCGTCTGGCTCACCCCTTACATGCGGGCGCTCCACCTCAGGCCACTAGGTGCGTTCACATGTGTCTGCCCACACATTTCGGCACTTCATGCGTTTCGTGGCCCCATATGGAGCTCAAGCTAAGGCCCCAGTAGGGGAGTCCACATGAGGCTCCCCGCTCATTTCGGCGCACCACTCACACGTTTCGTCGCATCGTAGTCCCAATGGGGAGTTCAACCTGAGACCCCAGTGGGTGCGTCCACACGAGAGCGGCCCGCTCATTTCGGCACACGCCTCACACGCTTCGTTGCTTCATAGGGAGCGTTCCCTCCTTCGTCCCACCTGCCGCGCGGCACGCGCACTTGCGAATGGTTGGGCCCGTCCCTGGGATGATTGTGTCGGGGCGTCTGGCATTGACAGACGCTTCCACAGCAGATAATTACTCACTGCGTGGAGCTCCCCATATGTGCATCTCATGTTTCATGTCATGCCGTGGTGAGCGTATGTTCATGAGCGGTCGACTACAATAGCGCGTCCACGTGGGCGACAGGGCCGACGAAGACGAGCGACCCCTAATGCGAGTGATTGCGTATGAGTCAGAGTGAGCTTTGAGTATGGTTGAATGCGAGCCTCTTCCTTTTCATCCCCCCTCCTCAGCTGCCAGGCCTTCCCCTTTTCAGCCCGTGGTAGCTTTGGAGCTTCCCACATGTGCATATGTTGTAGGATAGTTGGCAGTGGGATATGTAAGACGATCGTTTAGCCACACAAGGCCATAAGTGCATGTCATGTTGGAGGATAGTGCCACGGTGAGCATTTCCAACAATCCCCGCACACAACCACCGCCCCCCCCCCCTCGCAGTCACCCCCTATGAATACATATCTATATATATATGTATATATACATATATACATATACATAAACACATACATATATATATATATGTCCTGGACTTCGGAACAAACGTTCTGCTCGCGTCAAGGACCTTCGAGCAAAGCGCCCTCCTCTTCCTCCTCCTGTTCCTCCGCCCCCTCCCTTCTCCTGCTCCTGCTCCTCCTCCTCATCCTCCTGCTCCCCCTCCCCCTCCGCACCCCCATGCCCTTCCTCACGATCCCCCGCCTCCTCCTCCTCCTCCTCCTGTTCCTCCTCCTCATCCTCGTTCCTGTCATTTCCCTCCCTGTTGAGCCCAGAAACAAGCGAACCGCCTGAGACATCCCCACCATATGGCCGCGAACGTGCCCGTGCAACCACCCCTGGCGGCTCCCCATAGGGGTGCTGCAACCAGCGCCCCGCTTGAGACATCGTCACAATCTGCTCTCCAAGCGAAGGATGTTGAGCCCAGAAATAAGCAAACCGCCTGAAACATCCCCACAAAATGGCCGCGAACGAGCCCGTGCAACCACCCCTGGCGGCCCCCCTTAGTGGTGCTGAAACCAGCGCCCCGCCTGAGACATCCTCACAATCTGCTCTCCAAGCGAAGGATGTTGGGCCCAGAAACAAGCAAACCGCCTGAAACATCCCCACAAAATGGCCGCGAACGAGCCCGTGCAACCACCCCTGGCGGCTCCCCGTAGGGGTGCCGAAACCAGCGCCCCGCCTGAGACATCCTCACAATCTGCTCTCCAAGCGAAGGATGTTGGGCCCAGAAACAAGCAAACCGCCTGAGACATCCCCACAAAATGGCCGCGAACGAGCCCGTGCAACCACCCTGGCGGCTCCCCTTAGGGGTGCTGAAACCAGCGCCCCGCCTGAGACATCCTCACAATCTGCTCTCCAAGCGAAGGATGTTGAGCCCAGAAACAAGCAAACCGCCTGAGACATCCCCACAAAATGACCGCGAACGAGCCCGTGCAACCACCCCTGGCGGCTCCCCTTAGGGGTGCTGGAACCAGCGCCCCGCCTGAGACATCCTCACAATCTGCTCTCCAAGCGAAGGATGTTGGGCAAGCAAACCGCCTGAGACATCCCCACAAAAATGGCCGCGAACGAGCCCGTGCAACCACCCCTGGCGGCTCCCCTTAGGGGTGCTGAAACCAGCGCCCCGCCTGAGACATCCTCACAATCTGCTCTCCAAGCGAAGGGTGTTGGGCCCAGAAACAAGCAAACCGCCTGAGACATCCCCACAAAATGGCCGCGAACGAGCCCGTGCAAACACCCCTGGCGGCTCCCCTTAGGGGTGCTGAAACCAGCGCCCCGCCTGAGACATCCTCACAATCTGCTCTCCAAGCGAAGGATGTCGAGCCCAGAAACAGGCGAACCGCCTGAGACATCCCCACAAAATGGCCGCGAACGAGCCCGTGCAAACACCCCTGGCGGCCTCCCTTAGGGGTGCTGAAACCAGCGCCCCGCCTGAGACATCCTCACAATCCGCTCTCCAAGCGAAGGATGTTGGGCCCAGAAACAAGCAAACCGCCTGAGACATCTCCACAAAATGGCCGCGAACGAGCCCGTGCAACCACCCCTGGCGGCTCCCCTTAGGGGTGCTGAAACCAGCGCCCCGCCTGAGACATCCTCACAATCTGCTCTCCAAGCGAAGGATGTTGAGCCAAGAAACAAGCAAACCGCCTGAGACATCCCCACAAAATGGCCGCGAACGAGCCCGTGCAACCACCCCTGGCGGCTCCCCTTAGGGGTGCTGAAACCAGCGCCCCGCCTGAATGTCTGAGTATGAGTAAGTCTGAGTATGAGTATGTCTGAGTAAGAGTAGGTCTGAGTATGAGTAGATCTGAGTATGAGAGTATCTGAGTATGAGTAAGTCTGTGTATGAGCAAGTCTGGGTATGAGCAAGTCTGAGTATGAGTAACTCCGACAGGAGGGGAGGAGGAAAGATGAGGAGGGAGAGTGAGTAGGAGGCGTCCAAGTAATAACAAGAACCCCATCTTAGGATATGGGGAAATAGATCGGGAAGGACAGAAGGAGGGAGCGGAGAGGGAGGAGGAGGAGGAGGAGGAGGAGGAGGAGGAGGAGGAGGGAGCACATCAGCAGCGGCAGCGAGCAGCAGAGAGAGCGGCAGGGAAGAGGGAGAGGAGCGGCGAGCAGCAGGAGGGGGACAGGTGTGCGTCACGCCCGCCCGTGGGATGCTCTGCCACAGCTGTCCGGGCACCGTCCTGCAACGGGCACGCCCACTAGACAACTTCCCCTGATGCTGCTCAGAAGAAGGTTGGGGGGAGGACGGGGGGGGGAGGAGGAGGAGGAGGAGGAGGAGGAGGAGGAGGCGGAGGAGGAGGAGGAGGAGGAGGAGGAGGAGGAGGAGGAGGAGGAGGAGGAGGAGGAGGACAAGGGGGAGGAGGAGGGGGAGGATGGGGGAGGAGACAGCGACGCGACAGCGATGCTGCTGAGCCCAGCGGCCTGCCCCAAAGAGACAGCGATGCGCTCGCTGGCCTCTCATCTCTCCATTGTATCCCAGCCTCTTCCCGGCTCCATGTCCCCCCCTCCCATCCCCCGTCCTCTCTTCTCCTGCTCCACCCCCCTCCCCTCCTATACCCTCCACCACCCTACTACACCCTCCTCTAAATCATCCCCGCTTGTCCACCCCTGCCTACATCGCGGCCCCCCAGAGGGGAGCCTCGATCTCCTTGCCCTCGGCTCGGCGCGACACGCGGGTCACCGTCTGGGCGAGCGCGCGCGCGCGGGGCGGCGGTGGCGGGGATGGGGGGGGGGGAGACGGGGCGGGGACTGGAAGGGGATGGGAGAGGGACACGGGGGGCAAATCGGAGGGGTGAGTGAGGTGTGGGGGGGGGGGGGGGGGGGGGGGGGGGGGGCAAGCGGCGTGGGGGGGGAAGGGGAGGGGAGAGGAGGACGAAAGGGGAAGGAGACGGGGCGGAGACTGGAAGGGAGAGGAGGGTGGGGAAGGAAACAGGACGGGGACTGGAAGGGGAGAGGAGGGGAGGGATAGAGCGGAAAATCAGGGGGGAGGGTGGTGGGCACGAGAGGGGGGGGGAGGCAGGGGTACAAGAGGCAGGAGACAACAAGAGGAAGGGAGAAGCCGTCGCGATGGCCGCCAGGCAGAGACTCCACAGGTGAAGCAGCAGCACGCCATGCCCACTCTGACTCGCCGCTCCTCGACGCTGGGCACTCACGAGCAGACCAAGACCCAAACAAGCGCGGGACGGATGGTGCGCTCACGCTGGCCCTCCCGCGACGCAGCCGCCCGGACTTCGCTCTTCGCTTCCGCCGCTCACCAGCCGCCATCCTGCTCCTCCTCCTCCTCCTCCTCCTCCTCCTCCTCCTCCTCCTCCTCCTCCTCATCATCATCATCATCATCATCATCATCATCATTCATCATAATAATCATCATCATCAATAATCATCAAGCAAGCAGCCCACCCTGCAGCACACACGACAGCATTCAGCATCATTCATCATCATCATCATCATAAATCATCATCATCAGCAGCAGCAGCAGCAATGGGGGCCAAAAATTCATCGCATGGCGATCCATCCTCATATCTCATCATCATCACCACCACCACCATCATCATCATCATAACCACCACCATCATCATCATCATAATCATCATCATCGTCATCATCATCATCATCCACCACCACCACCACACCACCACCACCACCCCATCATCATCATCATCATTCATCACCACCACCACCACACCACTCACCCACCACCACCACCATCATCATCATCATCATCATCATCATCATCATCATACGTCATCATCATCATCCTCATCTCATTCATCACCACCACCACCACACACCCCACCATCATCATCATCATCATCATCACCAACACCACCACCACACCACCACCACCCCATCATCCATCATCATCATCATCTCATCTTCATCATTCATCATCATCATCCTCCTCCTCCAACCTCCTCCTCCTTCCCTCCTACTCTCCTCTCATCATCATCATCATCATCATCATCATCATCATCATCATCATCCTCATCCTCATCCTCATCCTCATCCTCATCCTCATCCTCATCCTCATCCTCATCATCAGCATCAGCATCAGCATCATCATCATCCTCAGCATCATCATCATCAGCATCCTCATCCTCATCCTCCTCCTCATCATCAGCATCATCATCATCATCATCATCAGCAGCATCATCATCATCGGCAGCAGCAGCAGAATCCTCCTCCTCTTCTTCTCATCATTAGTAATAATATGAGTGATATGATTATGCGTGCTAGAATTTAATGTGTGATTACTACTATTAGTAGTAGCAGTACTAATGTTAACACGGTTCGTAATACGAATAGTAAAACTATAGCATGTTAAATAGTAAGTGTCTTAAACTATTACTGGTATGTTACGTACAAGCCGTAACATTAAATTGAATAATATGATTACAGGTACTACAATTGGTATCATTAGTTGTGCTAGCATTCTTTAAAGTTTATTACCAACGTTACTAACAATGATGCTAACGATAAGATTATTGAAACGATCGTGAGTGTGATCATCAGTATTCTCATTATGAATACGAGTGCTAGTAGTACTACTCGTGCATGTGTTACGTGTGTTCTTATCACTTCGATATTGTTTTCGTATGCTGCCCCGTACCAATGTTACTATGATTGCTCCTCCTCCTCCTTCTACTCCTCCTCCTCCTCCTCCGTCCATCCCTTTTTATTATGAATAACTCCTCCCTGTTCCGCCCCCTACGTGCTGGCAGGGCGGGCCACACGTTTCGCCTTATGACATGCACAACAGCTTCAAGGATGGAGGGCGAGCCGTTTGCAAAAAGTGGTCTCGCCATAGCGCCGCGCACATTCGTCTTGCAAACTTGCAACAGCTTCAAGGATGGAGGGCAGGCCGTTTTCAAAATGGTGCTCTCGCCTTGGCGCCGCGCACATTCGTCTTCAGCGTTACAGCATCTTCAAGGATGGAGGACATCCTTTTTAAAAAAACGGCTCTGGCCTCAGCACCGCGCACATTCGTCTTAAAAGTTTGCAGCAGCTTCGAGGTTTGAGGGCGGCTCACTTTCAACATATGGCTCTCGCCTTAGCGCAGCGCGCATTCGTCTTAAATGTTTGCACAGCTTCAAAGATACGCACGGTTGAAATCCCAGGAATGGTGCTCTGGTACGATGTAGGACTGTCAAGACGCAACCAGTCTCTGGCACGATTTGGGAATAACAGGACGCAACCGTCGCGCTGATCCGCGGCGTTGAAGTCCCAATAAGGGCGCCTTTGTCACGATTGGAAAATTCCTGACGCTTATCTTCTGATGGGCCGCTTCCCCACTGAGAAGCAGTTATTGCACGGACCTATGAAGAGGGAACTTGGAGGGAGGTCGCATTGCAACATCATTGATGCGCCTTGGGCTTACACTGGTCCTCCTCCTTCTCCTCCTTCTCCTCCTCCTCCTCCTCCTCTTCCCAGCTCCTTCTCCTCCTCCTGCCTTGCACATACAAAAATGACAGCATCCCTCGAGAACGGCACTGACCCATGCCGTCGTTGAGCGAACGAGGCCTCCCTCCCTCCCTCTGTCCCTTCCTCCCTCCCTCCCTCCCCTCCCTCCCTCTGTCCCTTCCTCCCTCCCTCCCTCTGTCCCTTCCCCTGCCTCCCTCCCTCCCTCCCTCCCCCCTCCCCACCACGGCACAAGAGGCCCCCACAGGGGGCCCGGAAATGGCCCAAGAGGATACACTAAAGCCCCAAGAGGGGGGTACTCGCTCGCAAAGAAGGCCCCAGGAGCCCTCCCCCCGCAAGAGGTGGCCCCGAAGGCTCCAAACGTGCCATCCGGAGGCCCCAGGGAGACGCCAGAAGCCTCGGGGAGAAGCCAGAAGCCACGATTTTGCCCAAACAAAGTGCCTGTTATAAGGGTTATGTGTAATTTCAGGCACGTGTCAGCTGCGGGGATGGACAGGCCTCCCTTTAGTAAACCGTGGTTTCGTGAAAACGACCTCGGGCGCAAACCTGGCGGGCGCAAGCCTGGAAAATTAATGGCCGCGGCGCCCTCCCGAGAACCGAAAACGGACAATTCACTAATCGACGTGTCAGGGTAGGAGGTCTGTCCACCCCCAACAGCCTAGGAAAGGCTCCCACGAGGCCGCCCTCGAGGGCTCCAAAGAAGCCCCTGAGGAGCCCTGCAGCAGACGCGGAGGAGGAGGACGACGGCGGCGGCGACGACGCGGGAACCCCTGCCCGTAGTCAGCGCGACGGGTAGCCGCACATATCCGCGGACTCGCGTGAGCGTCCTGAATGAGGATGAGGAGACAAGGATTCGGGGCGGGTGCCAGAGTGGGCACGTGGGAGGGGGGAGCGGGCGGGAGAGCGGTGGTGAAGAGCGGGGGCGAAGTGCGAGCGCAGGGAGCAGGAGCAGGAGCGAAACGTTTGGGTAGGGGCGGGGCTGGCGGCGGCATTGGATGCCGTGGGTGGACCAGTGCCACCGGCTTGGCAATACCCACGTCGTTGCATCGAAGCGGCGCCAAGAAGCGGGAGCAGCAGCAGCAAATGGAGAGCGGGCGCCCTGGTCATCGCCGCGAACGCGACGCCGAAGGCGACGCCGAAGCCGAGGAGGCCCTGTCACAGCGCAGGCAAGGGGGGCAACCGCGCTTCGATCGCCGCACCAGGTCAGAAACTCACAAGTACAGCGGGACTGCCGCGCGTCACACACCGACCCTGGCCAGGCCCATCCTGGGCCCAGGATCGGTGTGTTGTGTGTAGCTCTCGTCGCCGTCCCCCCATTACCCTCTCTGGAGGAGGGAGGAAGAAGGAGAAAGAATGTAGCCAGCGCGTGCTTGTTCCATTGAATCCTCTCGCCTCGCCCAGTCGCCAAAAACTACATGTGCACAGACACGGCACGGCACAACACGACACGACGCGGCACTGCACACGGCGCAGCACGGCACCGACCACTAGATGACAAGATCGACCCAGGCGATGTTAACGTTTGGGCCGCCAGTCGGGCGACAGGTTGCGCGATTGTCTGCGCACGCCTGAATCACGGACTGGTCCATCCGGTCTAGATTGCACCATACATTGCACTCTGATCTGCTCCCCAGGATGCGCAGTGAGTTGCACTGTAGGTTCTGCAACATATTGCACACGTCCGAGTCACGTTCTGATCCACTCTGTCTAGGTTGCGCAACGGGTTACGCCGTAGCATGCGCGCGCCCGACCAAATCACGGTTTGGTCCACGATTTTGCCTAAACAAAGTGTCTGTTATAAGGGTTATGTATAATTTCAGGCACGTGTCAGCTGCGGGGATGGACAGAATCCCCTGTAGTAAAACGTGAGTTTGTGGAAACGACTTCGGGCCCAAACCTGGCGGGCGCAAGCCTGGAAAACGACGGCCGCGGCGCCCTCTTGAGAGCCGAAAACATACACTTCACTCGTCGACGTGTCAGGGTGGAGCTTCTGTCCAGACCCGATCGTCGCAGACTACAACCTGGCGACGGTGCTGCCTCAAAATGCACTGGATTTACCAGCCTCGAACGTGTCCCTATCCCTAAGATTGACACGCCAAAAGGCGATGACAATCTTAGGGATTCGCCCTCAAAAAATTAGGAAATCCGTAAGATTGGCATCGTGATGAGGAGGTGCCCAGCATAGGGATAGGGATATGTTCCAGGCTGGTAATGGATGCGAAAGGCCAGACTGAGGTCGGGCATGTCCCCCTGCGGGCTGCTCTTGGACGAAAAACGGAAACTCGTCAAGCCATGGCCCAAGCTCTTCCGGATCCGGACTCGGCGGCTCGTGGCCCGTGGTCTCCCGCGAGGTCTCCCGCACGGTCTCCCACACGGCCTCTTAGTGCACGGCCTCTCCCGCGCACTCCCCCGGCTGCGCTCCCGTCCGAGCCCCCGCGTGTACGGTACCGTGCGGTGCACGCTGTACAGTGTCAGGGGGACAAAAAGTGGCACAAACATTAAAAACTCGGAGGTCCGCGCGGATTTCTCGGATCGGCGCTGGGCCCCCCTCCCTGCGGCAGTTGTTATGTGTATGTCACTTTTTGTTCCCCTAAGTGTGGGCCCATCCCTGGTTGCCTCCTCCGGGGTACAGTTGGGGCCAGTCCAGAAGACACCTTCCACAAGAAACCCAACCCTGAGACCCCAGGACGTCCATTGGCTTCTGGTGCGGGAGCGTCACGCTTTCCATCGCAAAACCACCGAAACCCAAGAAACCCAGGGCACCCTGGAGGCAACCAGGGTGTTTCTTCGGATGGGCCCACACTGTATCGTGCCACCATGTCCAGGTTGCGAATGGCAGATGTTGCGCACAAGCAGGGCTTGGCCCGCGTTGAGCCGTCGAAAACGATCGGCCTCAGAGGGCCCCAAGACGGAGCCCCAACACATGCCAGCGCCAGTTTCCCTCTAACGGAGGGAGGGAAGGAGGAGAGAGGCACGGAGGGAGGGAGGAAGGAGGGAGGAGGGAGGAGGGAGGAGGGAGGAGGCAGGGAAGGGAGGGAAGAGAGAGGAGGGAGGAGGGGAAGAGGGGAGAGAGGGAAGGAGGGAGGGGAGGGAGGGAGGGAGGGGAGGGAGGGGCAGGGGCGCGGGGGCCCGCGCCGGGCCAGCCTCCCTGCCGGCCGGCGCACCTGGCCCGACGAGGCGCCCCGGTCGCGGGGTCGCGGCTCCGGCCACGGCACGCGTCGAGACGAGCGCAGCCAAGGCAGGAGCCACTGAGGGCCACAGATAAAGGGGCCCCAGGACACACAAATAAGTACACACAAATAAAAAGATTCCCCATCTTTTCCTACACTTTCTGGGTTTTTGTCTTCCCCCCCACTTCCCATGTTTTCCTAGATTTTCCTGGGGATCGTCGATTAATTGTGTCTGTGTTTTTTTCCCTCCTGAACAGAGCCTGCACGTCGGTCGGAAGAAACAGGTAAAGGCATGAAGCAGGGAGGCGGAGAAAGCAGGTTGGCTCCAGGCCCTCCCAGAGAATGAAAACACACACACACACACATCAAGAGCATGCTGAGGGCCACAGAGCCTGCTGCCCGCATGAGCACAAAAACGTACCCCAAGAGCGACATGGGCCCGTCGGAGGCCATGAGCCAGCGACGAATCCTGAAGACGACCGCCCCCGCCGCCGCACGCGCGGGGAAAGACTTCGCGGAGCGCCAGAGGTGATCAACCTCCATGGAAGGGCCATCAGACACGCGCGTTCCACTGCTCGCAGAGGAACTACTCGCGATGGCCTGGATCCGCCGCGGTGGATTGACGATACGCTTCACAGGAGGAGGACACGCATTTTTTGGATGTTTGCGGGTGGTCACTGTGCGAGTAGTGGACGCGCTCGGTGAGCCATAGCAGGCCTGAGCTGGGTCGAACCGCAGAATCACGACTGGGTCGAAGCGAAGTGTCGTCGTCATCACCATCGTCGTCGTCGTCCCCCCGTTGGCGGCACCGGCCATAAGGCCTTCGCGAACAGATCCGACTGGAAGCGGATCGGCTCGACAAGCAATCACCCCAAACCGTATCCAAATCGGATCGTGAGCGTTTTCTTCTTCGGCGTTTCGACAATTTGGGGACTTGGGAACCAGGGGGAAGGGGGGGGTTATGGCTCCGGACCTCTGCTTGATGCGACTGCCTGAAACAGTGAGTGCTATGAGGGAGACTCAACCTGCTCGAAACAGGCCCCACGAACAGCCATGATCTACTCCATGGGGGAGGAAGGGGGAGTGCCAGGACCTGCGCCGATCGGCAAAACTAAAGGGGCCCAGGTACACACAAATAAACACACACACACACAACTAACAGGATTCCCATTTTTTCGCATATTTGGGGGATTCTCGTCTCCCACCCCACTTCCCATAGTTTCCCACATGTTCCTGGGAATCGACGATTCGTTGTGTCTGTGTGTTGTTTCCCCTCCTGGATGATCTACTCCAGGGGGGAGGAAGGGGGAGTGCCAGGGCCTGCGCCCATCGGCAAAATAGTGGATAAGAGAACTGCGGCATCGCCGCGCCTGGCTCGGGCAATTCGGGGGCCACATGCGAACCCCACCCTCCCCCTCAGAAATCGTGGGGGCTAGGGGTAGGGTTCGCATGTGGCCCCCAAGCAGTTCCTGCCCGTGCTGGTGCGAATCACATCGAATCGAGTCGAATCGGGACCGCGGCCCCGGCCAGCGCATCGAGCCGCACCGAACCGCACCGCAGGGGGCGGCATATGCGGGGGCCCAAGGACACACAAATAAATACACACAAATAAAATGATTCCCCATATTTTCCCATATTTTCTGGGCTTTTTGTCTTCCCCCCCAATTCCCATACTTTCCTATATTTTCCTGGGAGTCGACGATGAATTGTGTCTGTGTGTTTCTTTCCCTCCTGAACGAGGGGCAATGAAACGGGGCGGAGGGCAAAAGCCAAAGTTCAGCCTCGAGGTCAGAGGTCTTCGGACAGTCTCGTCGGTCCCCGGCGGATGTCCAGCCTGGCCTCGGGATGCTCTCCAGCACCTGCGCCTCGCCGAGAGCGTGCCCAGGGTGCCCGAGTCGTCCCGACCGGCCGCCGGAGCATCGAGTCATGACCCGAAAACCAAAATGGCAACGAATGGCCGGACGTGCAGTCCACGAAGGATCCTCTCTGAGAAGAGTACTAGGCACACCAAGTGGGCCTGAAGGTCAACAGATTAAACACTGGAAGCCAACGCAGCGCCCGCACCACTCCCCAACCAGCGCTGCAAGGCGGTAGGCGCCAGGGGGGGGGGACGCCCATCTGGAGGAGGAGGAGGAGGAGGAGGAGGAGGAGGAGGAGGAGGAGGAGGAGGAGGAGGAGGAGGAGGGGAGGAGGAGGAGGAGGACGGTGGAGGAGGAGGAGGACGAGGAGGAGGAGGGGGAGGAGGAGGGAGAGGAGGGAGGGGGAAGAGGAGGAGGGGGAAGGGGGAGGAGGAGAGGAGAGGAGGGGGAGGAGGAGGAGGACGGAGGAGGAGGAGGAGGAGGAGGAGGAGGAGGAGAAGGAGGAGGAGGGGGAGGAGGAGGATGGGGAGGGGGAGGGGGACAAGCTAGGTTGGAAGGAATTGGTGGGACTTCATACCCCTCCCCTCCCTCCCATCCCTTACCATGGCGCTGATTTTCTCTATCCGCGGACGCGTGTCGTAGCGGACCTGTGGCTTCGCGCGCGCGTGCGTAGTGGGTGGTGGTGCACGTGCGTGCGTGCGTGCGTGTGTGCGTGGTTGTGATGGTGGTGGTCGTGGTGGTAGTGGTGGTGGTGGTGGTGGTGGTGTGGTGATGGTGGTGGTGGTGGTGCTGTTGGTAGTGGTGGTGGTGCTGGTGGTGGTGGTGTTGGGGTTGGTGTGGTGGTGGTGGTGGTGGTGGTGGTGGTGGTGGTGGTGGTTGTGGTAGGTCGGTGGTGGTGGTGTGGTGAGTGGTGGATAGCGGGGCGCGGTGGTGGCGGGCGGATGGGCGCGCGAGAAAAAGGCCCGCGCTGGGGCGAGAACGCCATCCTGAACGACGGAGGCCAAACACCGATCCGAAAATCAGGCCCACGCTGCAGCGGGAGCACGATTCGGAACGATTCGGGAGCAGAAATGAGGCCGGCGCCTCAGCGAGAGCAGCATTTTAGAAAAAAACACAAGCGAAAACCCAACTCCGGGGAATCCTGTGTGTAAAAAAACAGTACGCGGGGGGGGGCCGAATATCTTCCGGACGCCATCAGGGGAAGTGGGAGAGTATTTTCATATTGTGTAATTGTAGAGGAGGAGGGGGAGGGGGGGAGGAGGAGGAGGGAGAAGGAGCCGAGGAAGAGCGCCCAGATCTCGTCCCAGCTGCTGCGCCGCACGCACGCTTGGCAAGGGGTCGGGCCCTCGTCGCCAGGACGCGATGGCTGTGGGGGCGCCTGGCATTGACAGACGCCTCCACAATAGATATGTACGCAGATCGGGAAGGAGAGAGGGAGGGATCGACTACACACAAGAGTGCCCCTGGGCAAAGGTGACCCTTTCCGTGCGCAGTGTCCTCCTCCTCGTCCTCGCTGGAGGAGGAGGAGGAGGAGGAGGAGGAGGAGGAGGAGGAGGAGGAGGAAGGGAGGAGGAGGAGGGGGAGGCTGCGGAGGAAGGAGGAGGAGGAGGAGAAGGTGCAGGATGGGGGCGAGGAGGAGAAGGAAGAGGCAGGAGGAGGAGGAGGAGGATAGAGGAAGAGGAGGAGGAGGAGGAGGAGGAGGAGGAGAGAGGAGGACGGAGGAGAAAGAGGAGGAGGAGGATGAGGAGGAGAAGGAGGAGGGGCAGGAGGAGGAGGGGCGGAGGAGGGGAGGAGGAAGAAAGGAGGAGGAGGCGGAGGAAAGAAAGAAGAGGGGGAGGAGGAGGAGGAAGAGGAGGAGGAGGAGGAGGAGGAGGAGGCAGGAGGAGGAGGAGGAGGAGGAGGAGGAGAAGAAAGAGGAGGAGGAGGAGGAGAAGAAAGAGGAGGAGGAGGGGAGGAGGAGGAGGAGGAGGAGGAGGAGGAGGAGAGAGAGGGAGGAGGAAAAGGAGGAGGAGGAGGAGGAGGAGGAAGAGGAGGAGGAGGAGGAGGAGGAGGAAGAGGAGGAGGAGGAGGAGGAGGAGGAGGAGGAGGGGGAGGGGAGGGCGCGAGGTGCCCAAACCCAAGCGCGATGCAGCAGCCACGGCCGCGTCGCGCTCCGCGATCGGGGGGGGCCCGGCGAGCCCGCACCCCGAAGGTCACCCTGGCGAAGGGTCGGTCACTGCATGGGAAACGCAAAAACAAAAAAACTGAATACCAATGAATTGTTGGAGGGCCACGCGGTGATTTCGCACTACCGCCACGCGTCAGCAGCCCGGGCAGCCACGACCAGGAGGCCGTCGGGGCACACCGCGGGGAGACCTGGCGCCCTTCGGCGCGCTGCGCGCGATGGCCGCCTCCGCCCGCCGCCCGGCCGACCTCTCATGGGTGCAGCTACGGCATGGTGAGGGGGCCAGAACTTGGCGGCGCGCACCACGGGGTGGAGGGAGGGCCTCCATGGAGAATCGGGTGTTGCTAGAAGTGTGTCCCTGGCCCAGGGTGCCCCCAGGATCTCCAGGGAGGCCCCCACGGCCTCCAGAGCACCCCAGCACGAGGCCCAGAGGGCCCCAGGGGCTCCAAAATGGAGCGAATAGCTGGGGACACCTTGGACCAGGGGCACGTCGAATGTCTAGCAGCACCCAAGAGAATCCAAGCACCGAAACCCGAACTGGCATCAGAAATCCTATAAAATCGGATACTGCATGTGCATCGGAGTCGAAACGAATCGAGTGGGAGGAGTCGGAATGAGCCCTGACGTCATGCCAAGTTTGACGGCGCGCATAAGGGGGTAAGGGGAGAGAGGAAGGCGTCTCAGAAGGAGGCTGCTTCTTAGAAGGCGACGGCCTTGCAGCTGTAGCCAAGGCCCGCGCGCGCCCTCTGAGAAGCAGGGATCCTCCTAAGAAGCCGTCCCCCCTCCCCCCTACCCGCCCCTGCGTGTGGCCGAGTCACGACGGCGGCGAGGAGGGAGAAGGGGAGGAGGAGGAGGAGGAGGAGGAGGAGGAGGAGGAGGAGGAGGAGGAGGAGGAGGAGGAGGCGGAGGCGGAGGAGGAGGAGGAGGAGGAGGAGTGAGGAGGAGGGAGGAGGGAGGGGAAAGAAATTACCCCAGTGCGACCCTACCTAGGAGTTGGAGCCCCTAGGAAAGCAGCATTCGTAGTAACGGTAAACGCCGTCCTCCTCCTTCTCCTCATCGTCGTAGTTGCCTTTGTGTTTGCTTGTGTTTGCTTGTGTTTGGTTTTGGTTTTGCATTGCCTTCGCACACACACACGCATGTGTTTGCATTCGCTCACCGGGTCGGTTCTCTGGTCGTACTGTTGCATATTGATTGTGCGTTGCCTTTCCTTTGCTTTGCTGTTGCTTGTGATTTGATGTGGTTTGCTTTGCGTTGCTTGTGATTTGCCTTGCTGTTGCTGCTGTTGCTGCACATTTGCTGTGCTGCTATGCTATGCTATGCTGCAATATGCTATACTATGATATGATGTGTTATGATATGATATGATTTGCTATGCTATGTTATGCTGCGCTATGCTGCGCTATGATATGCTACGCTAGGCTGCGCTATGGTATGCTAGGCTATGATATGCTATGCAATGCTGCGCTATGCTATGATATGATATGAGATGATGCGCTATGTTATGCTATACTATGATATGCTAGGCTAGGCTATGCTATGCTATGCTGTGTTATGATATGCTATGCTATGCTGCGCTATGCTCTGCTATGTTGGGCTATGGTATGATATGCTAAGCTAAGCTAAGCTAAGCTAAGCTACAGCTACAGCTAAGCGAAGCTCAGATGAAGTTAAGCTAAGCTAAGCTAAGCTAAGCTCAGATGAGATACGCAAAGCTAAGGTAAGGGGTCGCAACTGGGGGAACCGCGGGGCGGGGACGGGGGGAACCGCCGCGGGCGAAGCCCACTGCCCGGCCCCTTTAAGCTGATAGAGTAAGAACCCTCTAGGCAGAGCCTAGGTAGGGAAATGGCCGAGTCACGACGGCGGCGAGGAGGGAGGAGGAGGAGGCGGAGGAGGAGGAGGAGGAGGAGGAGGCAGAGGAGGAGGAGGAGGAGGAGGAGGAGGAGTGAGGAGGAGGGAGAAGGAGGGAGGGGAAAGAAAAAAAAGACGAGGACCTGGACATCCGACGTCGTGTTTTCTCCACAGCACGGCCCCTCCAGACGCCTGGACCTCTCTCCCCAGGACAGGCCCCGCAACCCGGGCCCCTGCGACGAGGGCCGCGGAGGCCGAAAGTTGCAGAAAGATGCCGAAGTGACTTCGTCGTCGTCGTCGTCCTCCTCGCCGTCGCCGCCACCGCCGTCGTCGTCGTCGTCGTCGTCCATTCAGGGTCGGCGGCACCGGCCATAAGGCCTTCGCAATATTCCGCCGTGACTTGCCCACGACGCGTAGATGCCTGGGGGGAGTGGCACGGGCCTCGGGCGTGGACGCCGCCGCCGCCGCGGCCGCGCGCGCAGGCGCCTCACGCTGGGCTCAGCAGCCGAGGAGAGCACCTCCGCGGAGACGGCGTCGACTTCTCCAGCTCCGACGGCGGACCGCGATCCTCCTCCTCCTCCTCCTCCTCCCCTCCTCCTACCTCCTCCCGCCTCCCTCCTCCTCCTCCTCCTCCTCCTCCTCCTCCTCCTCCTCTCCTCCTCCTCCTCTACTCCGTCCTTCTCTCATTTCCTCCTCCTCCTTCCCTCCTCCTTCCTCTCCTTTTTCTCCTGCTTCTCCTCCTCCTCCTCCCCCTCCTCCTCTCCTCCTCCTCCTCCTCCTCCTCAGGCCTCGGGCGTGGCCGCGGCCGCCGCCGCGCGCGCGCGCAGGCGCCTCACGCTGGGCTTCGCAGCCGAGGAGAGCACATCCGCGGAGACCTCCACGGAAGACGGCGTCGACCTCTCCAGCTCCGACGGGGACCGCGATCCTGGTGGCTCGCCAGCGGCGCCGCGGGGATTAAGCCGCAATCGGGCTCGGGGGGGTGGTAATGGGGGGTGACCCAACTGGGGGGTGAAGAAAGAGGCTCTGAAGGATCCCTTTCGGGCCCCTTTGGGGCCTTTAAGGCGCCCTTTGCCTCACCCCCCGTTCAGGTCACCCCCCATTGGCTCGAGTAAGGGATCGACTACAGAATTGATTTACTCCAACTTCGACTTACTTTTCTCCACGAGAGAACATACGCAGAATGCTCCATAGATCTACGGAACATTCAACGTATTCGTTGAGATGCGCAGGCAAAAACAATTCTGGGGTAAATCGATTATGTAGTCGATCCACTCCTCGATTACCACCCGCCCGACAAGCAGCAGGTCGGGCACGTCTTCCTTCAGGCGGATGCTGCAGGAAAAATAAGAGCGTAAACAAATCCCAGAATAATCCAAAGATGATCGAAACAAATCGTCCCCAGACTGTTCCTTTGCCTATTTTGCAGATTCCTCCTGCAGAGGGACATGCCCGACTTCAGACCAGCGTGGGCCCGCGCTCACCCGGCCTGGCCGGAGGCGCCGCCGGCCGCCCTCGGCGACGGTCGGGGGCGGCCAAGAGGGGGCGTCCAAAAGGTGCGGGCGCAAATCATGGCCGTCGGCATGTGCGCGGCCCAGGAGGGGGCCGGGGACGCATTGAGATCAGAAGAGGCGCGATGAAACCCGGGGAGACATCATGGCCCCGGACATGGTATCCACGCCCCCTGGTCATCACCCCCCTCTTATTTGGACACCCGAAATGCGTACGGAAAGAATGGGCACAATGCCCAACAACAAACGTTGTCCCAAACCAACAGCGGCCGCTGTTGGGCAGGCGGCCTCCTGTCTCGAATGGACACAGGCCGCGGCGGCGCGGACAGCGAGTCCTGTTGAAAATAAGCAGGAACTGCTGCTGGGCATCGTACCCATTCTTCCCGTACCCGTTTCGGGCGTCCAGGTCATCACCCCCCTCTTGGCAACCCCCAACATTACCACCCGCCCGGCTTCAGCGTGGGCCCGCGCTCACCCGGCCTGGCCCGAGGCGCCGCCCGCCTCGGCGGTGGACAAACCTCCCTTTAGCAGACCTCACCTCAATGGCAACGGCCTGGGGCCGACACCGACGGACCCGAACCCGCAGAACACGACGGCCGCGGCGCCCTCTCGCGAACCGAAACCGGCCGATTCCTCAATCGACGTGTCGGGGTAGGAGGTCTGTCCACCCCCGACCTAGCATCGGCGCTGCGAGGCGGTCCTCCGACCACATCCGCTCTGACCCCGCCTGGGAGGCCCGCACGAGATCGGAGGCGCGGCGGCCCTGCACACGCCGCGGCCGGCCCTCGGCCTCTCACGAGCGAGGGCAGGAGGTCTCTCCAGCCCCGCCCGCCGCCCTCGGCGACGGCGGCGCCAGCTCGCCTCCGCCGGCGCCGCCGCCGGGGCCCCGCGGCGGCAGGGCCTCGGGGCCGGCCGGTGCCGGGCCGCCGTGTGCCGCTGGCTGCGGCGGCGCCCGCGCGGCCCTCAGGGCCTCGAGGCGGCGCTGGTGGGAGGATGCCAGCGAAGCTTATGTCGGGCCTGTCCCCCTGCAGAGGGGGATCTTCGACGAGAAATATAGAGAATACACCCCAAAAACAGTCCAAAAGGAGTGCAAAAATAGTCTGGGGGCCAGTTTTTAGGTATTGTTGGGCCTTTTGGGGGGAATTTTTTTTAGTATTTTCTAGTTTTCGTCTAAAAATCCTCCTGTAGGGGGACACGCCCGACTTAAAACTAATCGAGTAAGGAGGATCGACTACAGAATTGATGTACCCCAAGATTGGGTTGTTCGTCGAAACTGCAAGCAAAGACACAGAATCGTCGCAGGAGTACATGCGTATTGGCTCGCAGAATCGACGGAGACTTGAATTTTGGGGTATATCAATTCTGTTTTCGATCCCCTACTCGAACTGTATACCCAGACCCCCTCGGGACACGACAGGATCACGACGGAGGGTCTGTCGCTAGAGCTGCGGCCTCTGGGGCCCTCACCGGGCCTCGGGACCGTCAGAGGCCTCCTAGATGGGGTCCGAGTAGATGGGGGTCGACGGATCGCGCCGCATCGCCAGTGCATCGCCGATGTATCGGCGATGCATCGGCGATGCATCGGCGACGTATCGGCGTTGCATCGGCGACGCGCGTGGGGAACACGGGCTCCGAGCCGCATCGCCGATGCATCGCCGATGTATCGGCGATGCGGCGCGATCCTCCGACTCCATATACTCCGACCCCATGCAGAGGGCCTAGAAACTATATACCCAGATGCCCTCGGGCCATGACAAGATCACGACGGAGGGTCTTTCGCTAGATCTGCGGCCTCTGGGGCCCTCAACGGGCCTCGGGAGCGTCATAAGGTGACCCGGGCCGAAAGACCCATGCTCGGGAATGGGTCGAGACCTCTGGAGGCCGACGTTATGGGAATAACCCTGACGTCGGGGGTCTGGGTACACCTGCACCGATCCTGGCCAGGCCTTTGCGGCACCCATATATATATATATATATATATGTATAAAAAGGATCCATGCTTATACACAAGTATCCATAAATAGCTAGGTAGGTAGATAGTAGATACATAGATGGATAGACAGACAGATAGCTAGGCCAGGAGAGCGCATGCACCGATCCTCTCGGCCCCGGGTCGGCCTGGCCGGGGCCGCGGCAGGTGCGCTCAGCTGGCGCACCCTCCCAGCTGGAGCTGCGCCCTCTCCCCCTCCCAGAGCTCGATCTCGGCCTCCCGGTCCTGTCATGGGCCGACTCTACACCACCACTGCCATAGCTAGGAGAGGAGGAGGAGGAGGAGGAGGAGGAGGAGGAGGAGGAGGAGGAGAAGAAGAGGAACGAGGAGGAGAACGAGGAGGAGGAGGAGCTCCCCATCCTCCCTCCCCCCCCCCTCCTACCTAATCATCGTGGTGGTGGAGAGCCGGCCCTCCATCCTGGCCGCCCGGCCGCCGCGAGGCCTCCAGCTCCCGGGCGACGCGCAGCGCGGCGGCGGCCTCCGCCAGGCGCGCGTGCAGCAGGGCCCTCCGGCACAGGTGCCGCTCGGCCTCCCGCGCCTCCCAGGACGCCAGCGGGCGGCGGGAGGGCTCCCCGAAGCCGGCGTGCTCGGGCGAGGGCGCCGGGCGGGGCGAGGCTGCCGCCAGGGCGGCCGGGCGCGGCCGCCCTCCTGCGGCGGCCATGGTCGTCCACCGTGCGCGGCGGCCGCGGTGGCCGTGGTCTCCGCGTCTCCAGCCGCGATGGCCACGGAGGACTGATGGCGGGCCGCCGTCGTCGAGGCGGTCTCCGCGGCCACCGAAGACAGGCTCGGTGAGCGTAGGCATATAACCTTCTGCTGCCTCGTCGTCCCCCTCCCTCGCCTCGGCCCCTCTCTCGGTTGCATGCTCATGAACGTACACACGCATCCCGAGCGGCGCTTGCAGCTAGAGGCTCCTGCCTCGCCTCCGAGTCGTTGGCCAGGGGCTCTGGGCTCTCGCCTTAAGTCGGGCCTGTCCCCCTACAGGGGGATTTTCGACGAAAAAAATAATTATCCCGGCAAAGCAACCTAACAGCGATGTGTAGAAGCATCTATGGAAACATTCAGTTGTAGAATTATCCTGTTCTCGCAGTCGCAGTCGCATTCGCGATGACAGTCGCAGTGGCAACGGCAGTCACAGTCACAGCCTCAGCCTCAGCCTGCCTCAGTATCAGCCTGCCTCAGCCTCAGCCTCAGCCTGCTTCAGCCTCAGCCTCAGCCTCAGTCTGCCTTCAGCCTCGGCCTCAGCCTCAGCCTGCCTCAGCCTCAGCCTGCATCAGCCTCAGCCTCAGCCTCAGCCTCAGCCTCAGCCTGCCTCCGCATCAGCCTGCCTCAGCCTCAGCCTCAGCCTGCCTCAGCCTCAGCCTCAGCCTTCAGCCTCAGCCTCAGCCTGCCTCCGCATCAGCCTGCCTGCCTCAGCCTCAGCCTCAGCCTGCCTCAGCCTCAGCCTCAGCCTCAGCCTCAGCTGCCTCAGCCTCAGCCTGCCTCAGCATCAGCCTGCCTCAGCCTCAGCTCAGCCTGCCTCAGCCTCAGCCTCAGCCTGCTTCAGCCTCAGCCTCAGTCTGCCTTCAGCCTCGGCCTCAGCCTCAGCCAGCCTCAGCCTCAGCCTGCATCAGCCTCAGCCTCAGCCTCAGCCTGCCTCAGCCTCAGCCTGCCTCAGCGTCTGCCTCAGCCTGCCTCAGCCTCAGCCTCAGCCACAGCCCAGCCTCAGCCTCAGCCTCAGCCTCAGCCTCAGCCTGCATCAGCCTCAGCCTCAGCCTGCCTCAGCCTCAGCCTCAGCCTCAGCCTGCCTCAGCCTCAGCCTCAGCCTGCCTTCAGCCTCAGCCTCAGCACAGCCTCAGCCTTCAGCCTCAGCCTGCCTCAGCCTCAGCCTGCCTCAGCCTCAGCCCTCAGCCTCCTCAGCCTCAGCCTGCCTCAGCCTCAGCCTCAGTCTGCCTTCAGCCTCGGCCTCAGCCTCAGCCTGCCTCCTCAGCCTCAGCATCAGCCTGCCTCAGCCTCAGCCTCAGCCTGCCTCAGCTCAGCCTCAGCCTCAGTCTGCCTTCAGCCTCAGCCTTTGCCTCAGCCTCAGCCTGCATCAGCCTCAGCCTCAGCCTGCCTCAGCATCAGCCTGCCTCACCTCTGCCTCAGCCTCAGCCAGCCTCAGCCTCAGCCTCAGCCTGCCTCAGCCTCAGCCTGCCTCAGCCTCAGCCAGCCTGCCTCAGCAGCAGCCTGCCTCAGCCTCAGTTGGCTACGGGCATTCAAAATGTGGCCCGGGAATGGAGTTCTGGGAACTCGAAGAGCACGAAGTGGCCTACAGTTGGCTCCGGGCATTCAAAATGTGGCCCGGGAATGGAGTTCTGGGAGCTCGAAGAGCACGAAGTGGCCTACAGTTGGCTCCGGGCATTCAAAATGTGGCCCGGGAATGGTGTTCTGGGAACTCGAAGAGCACGAAGTGGCCTACAGTTGGCTCCAGGCATTCAAAATGTGGCCCGGGAATGGAGTTCTGGGAACTCGAAGAGCACGAAGTGGCCTACAGTTGGCTCCGGGCATTCAAAATGTGGCCCGGGAATGGAGTTCTGGGAACTCGAAGACCACGAAGTGGCCTACAGTTGGCTCCGGGCATTCAAAATGTACGCCGGGAATGGAGTTCTAGCAGCGCCAAAAGCGATTTTGCGAGGATGTCCCAGGCGATTTGGGCTTCGACGGCAGCCGCCCCGGGTCCCGCCCCGACCCCCCTGAGGAGTCATGATGCTCTCTTTTGACACCACTAGAAACCTATCAGTCTTCGCTGTTAGGTAAACAACTCCACAAATAATCAAAAAATAATCCAAAAATAGTCCAGGTACTATTTATTGAATATTTTTGGCCCTGTTTGGGGTATTTTTTAAATATTTCTTATTTTTCGTCGAAAATCCCCCTGTAGAGGGACAGGCCCGACTGAACTCTCGCCCCGTCGCCGCCCGTGAGGGCCTCGTGAGCGAGCCTCGCGGCCGTCCGTGGGCGCCTCGCGGGCGCCCGTGGCGCCGCCCGGGCGCCTCGTGCGTCGGCTGAGGTCGGGCCGGTCCCCCTACAGGGGGATTGTCGACGAAAATTAAAAAATACCCTCTATATATTTATATTTAAAAAAAATGGTCTGGGGACTATTTGTTGAGCATGTTTTGACCTTTTGGGGGTACTTTGGGGGTATTTTTTTGCCCGACATAAGCGTCGGCCAGGGTTTCAAGGCTTCCGTCCAAAATAAATTGCACCACGTGTGCTGCACCCGATGGGTTGTACAACATTCGGGCCGGGCGGAAGGGGGAGATAGCAAAGGGGGGCTTTGAGAATCAGCTCACGTCGATGATTTTCCCGGCGCCTCCCAGCGCCAGGAGGCGCCCATGTATCGAGGAATGGGCCCCTCGGTGGGGCCGAAACCAGCTGCATGCAGCAGATTCCAAACCCCCCCCTTTCCCTATCCCACCCCTTCGTTCGGCCCGAAACATGCGTTTTCCGTTCAGAGGGAGATCTATACCTCAACCCTTCCGAGACCGAGCTTACCAGACCCCCGTGGGACACAACAAATCACAGATGATTGATTCGACCTCAACGTTAGCTGTCCACCGAAAACCCCACCTAGCCAGCCCGGCGGGCATTGAACACCGACCGCTGCCCCCTGTCCAGTGACGCCGTGCGCACAGGCTCGCTCTTCACCTCAGAGGACCCTGCTACAGCGCTCCCCTGCACGAGAAAGGCCCGCCCCGTGCCCTTCCCTCGGCGGTGGACAAACCTCCCTGTCATAGACCTCCCCTTAGTGAAAACGGCCTGGGACCGAAACCGACGGACCTGGACCCGCAGACATGACGGCCGCGACGCCCTCTCGCGAACCGAAAACGGCCAATTCCTTGATCGACGTGTCGGGGTGGGAGGTCTGTCCACCCCCGATTCCCCCTCGTCCTCACCGCCCCCCTCGCGGCCTGGGTGCCCAGCGACGCGGCGGGCTGCGCCGCCCGAACCTGCGGCCGAGGGAGCGGCAAGCGGCGGCGGCTGCGGGAGCGGCGCCCGGGGGCCGCGGGGGGAGCCGAGGAGCGGGGCCCTCCGGGCCGCTGCGAGCGCGCGACCGCTGCTGCCGCTGCCGCCGTCGGGAGATGGCAGGAGCAGGGCCCTCTGGGCCCCGGGTGGGCGACGCGGGGCAGAAGCCTGCCGGCACCGGCGAGAGCGGGCACCGGCTCCTCCTCCTCCTGAGCAGCTGTCTGGCGATCCCGTGGCCGGGTGAGGCCTCCTCCCCCCCCCAGAGGCCAGACATTGCCAGGAGCCTCGCGCCGTGGCTCTTCTCGGCGACAAGCCCGCGGGGGGAAGGTGAGAAGGGGCGGGCCGTCTCAGAGGGCTCGGAAATCCCCCAGCCTGCTGAAAAGTGTCCTAGGCCTTCCCCGGAGCAACACAAGACTTTTTAGAGGGCACAAGGGCTTCTGAGAAGTCCCGTCGCCTTCTGAGAAGGCCTTCTCCTTCTCACTTCCCCCCCTCCGTCGCCGCCGATCTTCCACGTCGCGAAGATGCCTATAAAGACCCTGACCCTCGCTGAAGCTCTGTCCCTGGACCCCTTGCGCGGCCCGCCCTGGTCAGCCTTCCCTCCCCAGATCGACCCCTGGTTGCCTGGGTGCCCGAAGCGAGTCACCCAAGACGCCGAGATCAAGGAAACCGACGGGCACCGAGCCCGGCAATCCATCGCCCTCGACCCTCCCTCCTCGCAAGGCTCAGGTCGATCCGACTCGACTGGTCGGTGCGATGCCAGGGGCCCCTGCATGGGAAAACCAAAACAACAAAAGAACGGCGGGCGTGCTTCGGCAATGTTTCGCTTCTGGGTGCCCTTACCCGAGGCCTCGGGGCCGTCAGGGAACGGCCCAAGGACGAAAAGACGGTCCCCGGAAGGAATCCAGACCTCTCGGGGTTCTGGGATCTCGCCGCGCCTGGCCCCTACAGGCGGATCTTGGACGAAAAACTAAAAATACTCAAAAAAATGCCCAAACAACAAAAAAAAAGCCAAAAATCGTCCCCTGATTTTTTAAACTACTTTGAAGTATTCCTCCTGGAGAGGGACAGGCCCGATTGAAGCCTGGACGCAAAACTCTGCAGGGAAAGAGAGCATCGATGGCACGCCGCCGCTGGGAGCCCGTACGCGTGCTGCTCCTTCGTTTTGGCGTCCGAGTGCCTGGTGCCTCTTCGGCCGTGGAACACTGGTGGGCTCCCGTCAACGGATCTCCTCCTCCTCCCTCTCCTCCTCCTCCTCCTCCTCCTCCTCCTCCTCCTCCTCCTCCTCCTGCTCCTCCTCCTCCTCCTCCTCCTCCTCCTCTCCTCCTCCCCTCTCTCTCCTCCTCCTCCTCCTCCTCCTCCTCCTCCTCCTCCTGCTCCTCCTCCTGCTCCTCCTGCTCCTCCTCCTCCTCCTCCTCCGCCTCCTCCTCCTCCTCCTCCGACGGGAACCAACGACACCTTCCACAAACACACACACACACACACACCTCGAATCCCCCTGTTCGAGGCCTCCGATATGGGGTCGGAGTAGACGGGGTCGGAGAATCGCGCCGCATCGCCGATAATTACATCGGCGATGCATCGGCGATGCAGCGACGATGCACCGGCGATGCATCGTCGACATCGGTGATGCATCGGCGACGTCGACGCGAAGCACATCCGGCTGCACATCGAGTCGCATCGGCGCTGCATCGACGATGCGGCGCGATCCTCTGACCCCATCCACTACGACCGCATCCAGGAGGCCTAAAATAGATGACAACAAAAAAAACAAAAACAAAAACAAAAAAAAAAAAAAACGACGGTCCACCCCTGGCGCTCGGAGCGCGCCAGGGGTGGCGCTGGAGGCGCCGCCAGGAGGCCCCAGCGCAGATCCACGAAACCCGCGCGGAGCGTCGAAGGCTTCTGTCTGGGTGCCTCCTTTTCCGCCCTTTCTCTGCTAATTAAAGCTGTGCGCGTCCCGCTTAGCTTTCAGAGGAAGAGGTTCGCTCTCGCCCTGCAGATCAAAAAAAACTGTGTGCCCCCTTCTTCTCCGATCAAGCGCCCATCCCCCCCTATCCTTGCTCCTGACCCGTGCCCTCTGGACCTCTTCCCCTCCAACGCTCGGGAGCGGCCAGGAGGGGGTGTCCAAGAGGGGGGGTGCAAATCATGACCGGCGGCATGTGCGCGGCCCAGCGGGGGGGCCAGGGACGTAGTGAAACAAGAAGAGGCGCCACGAAATCTGGGCAAATATCATGGCCCCCGCCATGATGCCCAACCCCCCCTCGTCGTCACCCCCCTCTCTGCCGCCCCCGAAAGCGCGCGGCAGCAGCAGCGACACCCCGCGGCTCGGGAGCGCCTCGGGCGCGCCCCGCGGCGCGGCGTCGGCGCGCCCGGCCGGGGCGGCGCCGGCCTGCTGCCTCTCGGCGGGCGGGGGGGGGGGGGCGCGGGCCCCGCGGGAGGCGGGGGTCGCTGGGAGGCCACCGCCTTGGCGGCGCGCACGAAGGGGTGGAAGAAGATGCCCAGAAGTTCGAGACGAATGGGATCGGGGGCAAAATCGGAACTTCCCCTCGGTCCCTTGCCCACGCACTCGTCGTGCCCACACCCCTCCTCAGAGCCCTGGCAACCCCTCCTGGGGTCCTCCCCGCGGCCACCGCCTTGGCGGCGCGCACAAGGGGGTGGAGGTTCTTGTTGGGGACGGGCCCGAGGCCACAGATCCAAGATCAGACAAAATCGGAAGCGTCCGAATCGGTCTCCTCCTCGGGAGGGGCCTCGGGGCGCGCAAGAGCCACGCCACGGTCTCTGACCCAAGCGAGGTCGGCTTCCACGAGCCCGAACGAATCCAAAACCTGCTCCCTGCAGGCGTACCCGCCCTGGGAGTCGAATTTACCTGAATGGCTGTGGGGGGAGGGCTTCTTAGAAGGAGGCTGCTTCTTAGAAGGCGCCGGCCTTACATCTGTAGGGAGAAGGCCCGTGGCTCCTAAGAAGCAGGGGTGCTTCCAAGAAGCCCTCCCCCCTCCCCCCACCCCCTCTGCGCGTGGCTGACCGCCGTCGGGGAGACTCGAGGCCTCCTGGAGGGGGTCGGAGCAGACGGGGTCGGAGGATCGCGCCGCCGCATCGACGATGCATCGGCGACGTCGACGTGAGGCAACTCGGACTGCACATCGAGCCGCATCGCGGATGCATCGGCGATGAGGCGCAGTCCTCCGCCCCCATCCATCCGGGCCCCATGCAGGAGGCCTAGAGAGACGTAAGGCTCGGGTACGGGGGACTCGGGGTGGCCTGACGGGGCCATCATGACAGTGACGAGACCCAGTCTGAAAGTTGACGCGAGCTCCCGCTGCAGACATCCCACGAAACTTGGACCGTCAAAATCCAGGGCGGGCTCGCCAGAAAACGTGTGCGAACCCGAGTTCCGGTTTACTCGAGCTGTACGTTTCCCCGATACTGGGAGGTCTTCGCCAGAAGGATTCAAGAAGATTAAGCCCCACTGGGGGGGGCTACATCGCCAGATTGGGCCGCGGATTCACCGGGATTAAGCCAGATTTCGCGGGATCGAGCCAGATCAAGCCAGGATTAGGAAGGATTTCAGACCAGGGCAGAATGCGAACCCGACTTCCCAGGAGTTGCATTCGAACGGGAAGAAGATGCCCAGAAGTTGGAGACGAATGGGATCGGAGGCAAAATCGGAACTTCCCCTCGGTCCCTTGCCCACGCACTCGTCGTGCCCACACCCCTCCTCAGAGCCCTGGCAACCCCTCCTGGGGTCCTCCCCGCGGCCTGCTGCTTCCGCCGGCCCCTGGGGCCCGAGGCTGCGCCCGTGGTGCCCTCTTGCCACCAGTTCCGTCCCAGAACGACGCCCCATTTCCGGTGCTCGGCTGAAGGGGCCCTGGGACACACACACACACACACACACACACACACACATATATATATATATATATATAAATACACACAAATAAAAAGCTTCCCCATATTTTCTCATAGTTTCTGGGTTTCTGTCTTCCCCCCCACTTCCTATATTTCCCCATATTTTCTGCGGAATCGACGATTAATTGTGTCTGTGTGTTTTTTCCCCTCATGATTCCGAGCGCCACCAGCCCTCTCAGACACCCTTCCAGGAGCTGCTCGGCCGGCTTCGGGGGCCTCTCGGAGCTCTCTCCGGGCTGGCCTTGACCGCCCCTCGGGCCACCAAACGGCCGTCCCAGAGGCCTCTCCACCTCTCTTCGGGTCGCATACACCGGAAACCCCAAGCACGCAAAAAAACTGTAAAACACGTGGGATTATGACGATGATGTCCTTACGGGGCTGTTCCTGGCGCACCTCGTGGAGCTCGCGTGCGTCTCCGCGGGCTCCTGCGGCCATCTTGGAACACGCGGATGCTCTCTGCGGCCGCCCTGACAGCCTTTCGGGGCCCTCCACGCCGCCAGTCTGGACTCCTTGCTGGTGCTGTCGTGAGCGGTTTTGGGGCGCGCCCAGGGGGGGCCTGGAAGCCCGTCTGGGGCCCCAAAACTGACTGGCGATGCTTTGTTCTGCCTCTACGTATTCCTCTTCGGTGTCGTCCGCAATGTGGCCTGCTTTTGTAGCCTCTTGGATTCCTCTTCGGCACTTTTCTGGCGTCTTTGCAAGCCCTCTGGGTCCATCCTCCACCTCCCTCTCGCCCTCTGGGATCATTCCCATTGCCAGTTGGGTCGCGTGTTGGAAAACCCTCTGGGACCATCTTATAACTCCTCTCGCCCTCTGGAATCATTTCAACAGTCCTCCTGTTCCTCGACCCACCCTCCCGAAGTCTCCACTTCCCTCCCAACAACCCACGATCCGAAAAAGGTGGTGCGACGGTGTCTACCCCCTCAGGGGCATTCAAATGTATAAACGCATAAAATGTTGACTGTAAGTGATCACCTGCGCCTTGATCAGGAGCGAGGATAAAACAAGGGAAACAGTCAGGGGGAGGGAAAGAGGGCCGAGAAATAGATCGAAAAATGAATCGACGCTCCAACGTCTCCCCCGCACACGACCCTCGCTTCGCCTCCGCAGACGCCCATTCCGCTTGCTCCTCTGCTGATCGCGTCAAACTGCCTGCCTGCCTGCCGGAAGCGGACCCTCCAGTCATCTCAGGAGTTCCTTCGTGCAGTGTGGGCAGATCCTGTCCACCGACCCCCGCCGTAGGATCATCTCTTGCCTCCTCCTCCTCACCATCATCCTCCTCTCCCTTCTCATTATACTCCCCATCCACCCCATCATCCTCTCTTTCCTCTTTCTCCTCCTCCTCCTCCCCCTTCTCATCTTCAATCTCCACCTCATCCTACACCTTCTCTCGTCCTCTTCCGGATGGGCGAAAACTCTAGTTGAAGATTGCCCAGGGGGCCCGAATTCCTACCAAGAGGCGGCCGAATGCTGGCGCCGAACCTGTAGCCCTGGCCGATGGCGAACGTGGTGGAGCCTGCCCCAATCCCTTCGTCGATACGCATTCTTCTCGTCCGTTCATGAAAGAATGAGACACCGAGCTCACGTCATGCATTGCCGCCCGAGCCTTCAAGTTGGGAATGTTATTTTCAAGCCTGGCCTGGATAGAAGGAGGAGGGAGGGCTGACGCTTCTGGCGATGCACCCGACTAGCCCGTCTTGAACAAATTCTTCAGGCAAAGAGGAAGGGTAGGGAGCGGGTGCGAGCTGCCAGCTCCTGCCGCAAGACACGCCAGGGAACTCGGCAGAACTTCCACTCCAGCCCAATCGTGGTTGTCGTGGTGGCAGTCGTCGTCGTCGCCGACGTCGGCGTGGTCGTCGTCCTCCTCCTCTTCGACCTCCTCCCATTCCTCCTCCTCCTACCCCCCCCCCTCCTCCATCTCCTCCTCCTCCTCCTCGTCTTCCTGTTCCTCCTCCTCCTCGTCCTCCTCCTCCTCCTCGTCCTCCTTCTCCTTCTCCCCCCCCTCCCCCCTGCTCCTCCTCTGTTCGGCGGTGGTGGTGAGGGCGAGGAGGCCAGCAGCAGAGGAGGGTGCGCGCAGTGCCACGACAGCTCTCGAGTCGCCGCGCCGCTTGCACTGCTTCGCTCGTGGCCTGTCTCCCATCTCGGCCCGCCCTTCTCCTCGAATGATGCGACGCCCCGCTGCTGTCCATACAACCAGCGTATCAATCCACCGACACAGCCCATTTCGCATCGGTTGAAGAAGCTGTAATACATAAGAGTCCCATATCAGACATATGTGCCCCCGCCGTCTCCAGCTACCCATCACATTCGCGTTGCTAGCCATCCTAACCTAAGTGTTGCAGAATATCGTGCTATGTCCCTCATCGGAAGACGTCTCATCGCCACTAGTACTTCATTACAAATCTCGTCCACATATTCGAATCGGATCGAGCCAAGTGAAATTAAGATCGAATCGGATCGACCGAATTGGAACGCGCCTCGGCATACCAGCACGTCGGGATCAAAGAAGAGCCTCCCGTTTGAAGCAAATCACCACAGGCGCGCAGGCAAAGTTTCTGTCTGCAGCCGCTTCGCCCGACCCTTTCTTCGAATGAGAGCACAACAAACAGTATCCCTTCATTCCTCCCCTTCTTCCTCCTCATCCTCCTCCTCATCCCGTCCCATCCCTCTCCTTCCTCGTGGCACCAATAAGACACACACACACACACATACACACACAACCACGTACACCCCCCCACCCCACCCCACCCCACCGAAATGCACGACGCAGACCACGGCCAGGGTAAAGACGGTCACCGCAGACAGCTCCTTCATGCCCGCTGCAGCTGCGGGGCGGGACGCCTCCGTAGGCTGTCGCGTGCAACACGTGAATGTGCAGCAGCCGCAGCAGCAGCGGCAAGATTGGCGCCAGAAATGAAAGCTACCGAGCGGCAAGATTGGTGCCCAAACCGGTGAGCGCGTGGAAGCAATCTCAACGAGCCCAAGTGTTGCGGCAACCGCGAGATTCTACCCCATCATTTCGGATCACGAACGCGGCACACCAATTTGCAGTGCAAGGGCAGACCATGAGACGAACACACACACACACACACAAACAAAAAATGCGACAAGCTCTGATGGGAATGGAACAATGATTACGATGAGTACAACGACGGCCACTACCACAATGACTACATCTCGAGGGTGCAGCGATAGAGAAATGACCAAACGAGGGCGGATGGAACCTCTGTATGTGTGACACGGCTTGAAAAACTCTGGGATACACTCGCCCCTTGAGCAAAACACCAGAAAGAATGCACTCGATGGCACGATGCAACACAAATACATGTGCACGACAACAAACTTATAGCAGAAGAGGCACGGTATGCATCTTCTTAGGCGAGCGGCTTTCAAACCTGTGTTTCGCAAGAGTATAACTAATCACGGCTTGCCAGCATCATAAGTGACAGTGTGTCCATTCACGTCCTATCTTACTCTCTCTCTCTCCCTCTCTCTCACGGGGTGAAGGCGAAAAAGGCCGTGAGGGCCAGGTGGAGAAGCTCATAAGGGGAAGCACCAGCAATCGAGTGTCTTGATAAGAGACAGTAACACGCATTTAGGCCTTAGTTCATCTTATGACCGTCGCAAGAACTGTGACATCTGCTTTGCGGCATCAAGAACAAGACCCGTTCCGACAATACTACACTTATCGAATGAGATTGCCAAGACCGCCCCGTAAAGACAATCAATGGCACGTGGTACGGAAATCCGCCGATCCTGTCGGCGTGTGAGGGGTTTGTCCATTCGAGTCGTCCTCTTCGTCATTCGTTAGCCATCGTCTCTGCCAGCTTCTTTCCCTGCGGCCCCCATTTCTGTGGGCCCGTCGCCGTTCCACCCTTTTTCGTGGACCCTCTTCCCCAAGCGCGCCAGCCAAAGCGAAATTGAGTACGTCTCAATTCAATCGAAGGAAGCCCCCTCCCTTTTGATCCCCCCCCCGTCGGGGGGGAGGTTCCCGAGGGAGGTCCCGGAGGAGATACGCCTCGGTCATGGGGGTGTCGCCACCCAGAAACGCATCCCTCCCAGGGGGTCCTGGGTCCGAAAAAAGCCGCAGGAGTCCCCTCCTTTGATGCCGCCCCCGTCTGAAGGGGGAATCCCTTGGGAGGTCCCGCAGAAGACACGCCTCGGTCCCAAGGATCCGTCCTGGGGGGTCCCGCGTCCCAAAGAGAAAAACAGGAGCCCCCTCCATTTGATCCCTCCCCCGTGGGGGGGGGGTCCCCGGGGGGTCCCGAGGAGATGCGCCTCGGTCCCGGGAGGGGTCGCCACCCAGATAGGCATCCCTCCTGGGGGATCCCGGGTCCCAACAAAAAAACAGGACGGGCCAATACTGCCCGAAGAGGCCCCGAAGACGGTCCAAAGGGGCCCGCATCGCAGAACGATCTGTCCACGACGCGTTCACGGCCTCCTGAAGTCCCACGAGGCCTGCAAAACGCCCAGCCAGGCCTCCAGGAGCACTCCCAAGAAGGCCCCTAAAGGCAACATTCATGAATTTCCCCTGGGTTTTTGCAAGATTTCGGCGTTCTCGCCTCTTCCGCTTCCCGACGCTCCAAGACGGCCCCAGATGCCCCCAAGATCGCCCCAGACGGCCCTGAGTCCTCCAAGAGGTTCCCAGCATGGCCCAAGGGGACCCAAAAACGGCCCGAAACGCCTCCAAGGCGAGCCAAGAAGCACCAAAAACGTTTTCAGTAGGTTGCCAAGACGGGGGACCCGAACGGACATCTTTAGCTTTCGCCCCCGAGAAGCTCTCAAGAGTCCCCAAGAAGCCTCGAAGACGCCCTCACGAAGTCCCCAGGAAGCCCCTGGAGGCACGGAAGAGTCTCTCAAAACGCCCCCAAACTGCGCACCAGAGCCCCCGAAAGCGTTCCGAAGAGACCCCGAGAAGCATCCCCTCTGCCCCCTGCTCCTGACCCTGCTCCTCCTCCGCCTCGTTTTCCTCGTACTGGGAGCCGGCGGTAAACCGTCAACCTTGGTTACCGCCGGGAACTCGTAGAACCTCCTTGCGATATACATGAGTAGGATGCGAGCGCGGCAATCTCGCATTCCGCGCGCGCGAGGGTGCGGTTTCATGGACGAGGACGTGGAGGAGAAGAAGGAGTGAGGAGGAGAAGGAGATGGAGGAGGCTGAGGAGGAGAAGGAGGAGGAGGAAAAGGAGCAGGCGGAGGAGAAGGAGGGGGAGGAGGAAGAGGAGACGAGCAGGAGGGGGAAGGGTGGAGAGGGAGAAAAAGGACGATGATGATGATGATGATGAGGAGGAGGAAGATGAGGAAGATGAGGAGAAGAAGGAAGAAAAAGAGCAGGAGGAGAAAGAGGAGAAGGAGCTGATGAAGAAGCAAGAGGAAGAGGAGGATCGGGTCGGGCGAAAGGGGGGGATAGCAAAAGGGGGGTTTGAGAATCAGCTCACGTAGCTGATTTTCCCGGCGCCTCCCGGCGCCGGAGGCGGCTATGTATCGAGGAATGGGCCCCTCGGTGGGGCCGAAACCAGCTGCATGCAGCAAATTTCGTAACCCCCCCTTTCCCAATCCCCCCCTTTCGTCCGGCCCGATAGGAGGATGAGGATGAGAAAAAGGACGAGGAGCAGGAGTACGAATAGATATGTTGGTTCCAGCTCTGGTAGCAAACCGATTTCAAACATGTAGATCATGTGATATTCGTCCCATTGCTGTGCCGAACAGCTTAAACATCATATGCAGTTCGAGCTACATCAAGAAAGGCATCGTCATCTCTGAATTCGAGCCGGTCATCTAGATACTTGAAACTAGCGCTACTGATGATTTCCTCTCGATTGTTCTGCCAAACGTATATGTAGCTAACATATATGTAGCTTATATGCAGCTCGATTTATCTCATGGAGGTCATCATATTTTTTGGAACACTAGCAAAGTAATCTAGATACTCGAGACTAGCGCGTCTGATGGTTCCCTTCCGATTACTGTGCCAAACAGCACTCCAGCTCATCTGCAAACCGAGATGCATCAAGAAATTCATCACTATCTCTGACAATTAGCAGAGTGCGAATATTTGTTTCGGGCCCAGCTCTGGTAGCAGACCGACTTCGGGCATCTAGAAACGTGAGACTAGCGCTCCGGATAAAGTCCTTCCGATTGTTGTGCCAAACAGCTCTGCAGCTCATCTAAACTCTTAAAAAAGAAGCAGACTACGAATAGTTGTCCGTTTCCAACTCTGGTTGCAGACCGAGTTCGGGCATCTGGATACTTGAAACTAACGCGTCTGATGATTCTCTTCCGATTAACAGCTCTGTAGCCCACCTGCAGCTCGAGTTACATCAAGAAACTCATTAGCATCTCCAGAAAATAACAGAGTACGAAAAGTTTTCTGGATCCAGCTCTGGTAGCAGACCGAGTTTGGGCATCTAGAGACTAAAGACTAACGCGCCTGATGTTTCTAGAAACATGAGGTGTGCCTCCCAGCTCTGTAGCTCCTCTACAGCTCGAGTTAGGCACAGACAACCGCCTGCCAAGATGACACTAAACAGCTGGTCCCGCCGAAATGCTGTTTTGGCAGTAGTATGTATGATCGACCTGAGCTTAAGATTGCGAGCGACTATAAGGTCGAATATGAAGAGACTATAAGGTCGAATATGGAGAGAAAAAAAAAAAAAAAAAAAAAAAAAAAAAAAAAAAAAAAAAAAAAAAAAAAAAAAAAAAAAAAACGAATGTTGAAATTTCGAGACATCGCATTTAAACCAAGCACAATTATGCAAAACTTCCGTCGAGATGTTGTTGTCCACTAGCCCCCCAGCGCGCCGAAATTACTCTCTAGCTTCGCCGCTCCGCCCTTAGGGAAGCTCTACGAGTCATTCTCTCCCGATTGATGTGCCGAACAGCTCTGTAGCTCATCTGCAGCTCGAGTGGCATAAGAGAACCATCATCATCTCTGCAAACAAAACAGAGTGCGAACATATTTTCCGATCCAGCTCTGGTAGCAGACCGAGTTTGGACATCCAGATACTTGAAACTAGCGCGCCTGAAGATTCTAGAGAGACTAGGTGTGCCTGCCAGCTCTGTAGCTCTTCTAGAGCTCGAGTTAAGTTAAGAAAACCGACAGCACCTGCCAAGACGACACTCAACAGCCGATCCCGCCCACATGCTTTTTGACAGTAATTAATATCTACCCGATCGACCTGAAATTGAGACGGCGAGCGGGGATAAGATCGAATATGGGGGGAAATACTAGGGCTCTAACGAGCCCCCAGGACACCAAGAAAAGCGCGCGCAGGGTGTGTCGGTGCTCACAAAGTCGAGCATCGCCGGTAAATGCGACAGCAGCACGAAAGGCTTCGGCGGCCGCCTCACAGGGCGCCGCTGCCCGATGGCCTTACGGGCACCCCTGACCAATGGATGCGTGAAGACAGACGCGCCCCGGCCCAGCAGCTGGCATGCCTTCTTAAGCTGTGCCACGTAATTGCCGAAGGTGCGCGGGCTACGAACCCTAAGAGCGAGGCGAGCTAGAGAGTATTTCCAGCGCGCTGGGGAGCTAGTTGGCAAACAAATACCGGCGAAAGTGTTGCATAATTTTGTTTGGTTTAAATTCGATTTCTCGAAATTTGAAGATTCATCAGAGCTCTAATATGTTTCCCTCCATATTCGATCTTACCCCCCCCCGCCATCTTAATCTCAGGTCGATCGGGTAGATTGTACTGCCAAAAAGCACTCTGGCGGGATCGGCTGTTCAGTCTCATGCAGACAGGTGCTGTCAATATCCTGAACTTAACAAGCTGCAGATTAGCTACAGAGCTCGGCAGTACACCTAATCCATATAGAATCATCAGGCGCATTAGTCTTAA